TCATCTCCATTCATTTCTGTGACATGACATGTGGCAGCAATTTCTGCTCTTTTATATGCAGATCTGCTGGCTACCATCCAGCCCTGCTAAAAAGGGACCAAAAATGAAGGTTGCTGTTCCCCAGCTGTTTCTGCCCCTTGCATGACAAAACAGGAACGTAACCAGATGACCCTGTGTCAGGAAGACCAAAAAGAATTAAGCCGTATAGGGGAAAAAAAACCAACTTGCACTCAAACAAATCCTTCTCTATACCACTAAAAAGGTTGCAAGCAAGTAATAAAGAAAATCAGTACTCTCAAAATATTTGCCGAAAAGCAGAGTAGTGAGAGTTCAGGCTGGGATTCTCTGCAGTGTTCCTCCCCTCCACTCTTCCCCTCTACCCAGCTGTTTGTTCACAACGAAATGTGAACAATGATTCAGTCAACAGGACATTTCGCTTGTGCCCCTCACCAGACCGAGGGAAAATAACCTAGGAATCAATTTCCCATCAAAACATGTGGCTTGGGGAATCTGTTGCCTTGGCTGAAATCCAGCTCAAGAACTTTCTCTGCATTTTCAGAGCCCCCTCACAGGACTATCGTTACCTACTTGTTCCAAAAGATCACTACAACAGTCCAGTATCTGCTAAGGTGGAAGACCCTAGAGCATATGAGAGAAGGGACTTTCAGAGGACCATACTACTTGCCTCCCACAAAGAACTGAAATGGTCAGACCTCACCACACTGGGAGATTGCTTGCCTATGGGATGTTCACATGAACATGCCTTGACACTGCAGACCAAGTTATTAGCAAGAATAAAAGCTAGCTATGCAAGCTCCTTCCTCAGCCAGGGGGGAGATACGGAAGGGAAGACTATTAGTTCTAAACAGGAGGACATCGCTGAACATTTTCAACAATTTCAATCAACAAAGTATTTAAACATGCACCTGTGGCTTAACATGCTCTGTAAATGGTCCCAGTGTAGTGAAGTACTGCAGGAACCAAGGAAAAACTCTAGTAGTTTAACCTCATAACCCAGCACCAAAAACCAAATTGCAGCATGCAACAAACAAATCTACTCAGCACCACTATTCTGCTGTCATTTTAGAGAGAAGAACAAAGAGAACTGAACTAATATTGTGCTAGACGCAACAGCTTGCAGGATTACTGAATCACACCTGAAAAGACTCTAGTTCTTACATGTACTGTAGGGTACTCGACCTGAATCCTCAAACAAGTTAGAATCCACTCGTTAAAGAGAACAATTTAAAAACTAGCAGGATACAAGAAATCAAAGCAGCATACAGCTGCAGTGTCACATATTTTCAATAGAAATTCAGGTATCGGATATCTAGAAATTCAAAAGCAATGCTCCTAACCACAGTTAAAACACCAGAAAACATATGACTTCAGGCAGTATTTGGTGTGTTCCAAAACTCTGAATTTACACTCTGTATCATGATGCCGTGGATTATATAGTGGATGAATAAAAAAGGAAAATTATTTTTGCTTGAAAGTAATGCATTTTGTTATTAGAGCTTTTTACTGTAACTACTTCTGTCCAATACATCTCATGAGACCCAGTATGCAGAAATATGGAAGTTTGGTGGGAAAACACCGGCAGCTTTGATAGCTGAATAGAGGTATTAATTTTTTATGCCATTTTTGTTGTCGCACTACCTGGCAATGTACAAGTCCCAGCTGAATTTCTACTTGAACCATTTCTGCTTTCTGGAAACTATTAGCTAAGTGTACCGACTGTGCTACCTACACATTTTGCAACCTGTTGCTGGCCATAAGACTCAGTCACTCAAAATGAATTATTTTATATTTTATATTTTTAAATATAAACTGCACTGAACAAATGCATTCAAGGTAAGAACCTGACCTGGGTACACAAAGATTACAGAGAAGCAAGAGAAAAAACACGTTTTGTGCACATTCCTGATAAAATTATCAGTGAAAGTTAACTGTGTTACATAAGTCCAAACAGATATTCACACAGTACATTACTCAGCAGAAAGATGGACTGAAAGCCATTCATCTCTCTCAAAGCAGTTAAACGTTGAAAAAATGTTATGTTAAAGGACTAGGCTTCATAATGTGAGATTCTGAAACAACTCAGTTGTAAATGCTGGATCTGTGGAAACCCAGGGGCAGCAGAGAATTCCAATTTCTCCATTGTACGCTTCAGGGCACCCCAGGCTGAGCCAGAGGACACCAGATAAACTAAGCAACAACAGGGAAGTGATTCTGCAGCAGCGCCCAGGCGCTACAGGCACAAGCATCAAGCACTGGGTGAGTCAAAACAACATTACGTATCTTCATCATGGCAGAACATGCAGCAGTGCTGGAAGCAGCTCCATTATCCTGCATGCAATCCTCAACACTTCAGAAAACTTTGGCAAAAATTCACTATTGGTCTATTTGCCACTGTTGCTATGTAGCACTGAAACTATATACTTCTGCCCTTTCATTACCAAAGCAAAAGGGCCCCAAGAGTCTACTTTATTCTAGACCATTTTGCATGCAGATGTATCACATGGAACTTTCTTCCTAGCCTTATTCACAGACATCCACTAGTCTGCATATCACTTTGTAAGGGTTTAACTCATTAATTCCCCCATCCTAGACAAATAAAAAAGGGAACTGAAATAATGCATAATCTGAGATCAGATTCCATTTACTGGCCTGCTGTAGCAGTGCCTTCTCTACAGAACAAGTCAGTCTGAGATTTACTACTTTCCACAGAGCATCTAGGATGATTTTAAAACTACAAACAAATTGGACATTGACGCATCAGAGTTAAGACATGGCTTAGGCTTACTTTTACCAGCCTTTCGCCAGCAACTGATACCTAATGAAAGACTTAAAAGTGGAAAGCCCATGAGGTGGGAAGTGTGGACATGAAATGCAAAAACATCGTTCATAAATTAAAACTCATAGAAGATTGCTTCTCCAAACCTCCATTACTGATACTGTATTTCATTTTCTTAAGAATTAGTTATATTTCTGGGAATATTACCAAGAAGCTTTAGCCAACAGCCAGCGTGACACTGTGTATATACAGAACCTTGTGCTGTTTGATAAAGCGACTTAAACAGTCTGTAGAGGTGTCTGTTCCTCCTCAGATTAGTTGTGCTTCAGAAGACTGGTCAAGCTCTGTATAGGCTGTAAAACTTTTCCTTGTTCTTTTTCCTTTATTCTTTACCCTTTTAACTTCCTTTCCAACATAAATGCAGACTGTACATCGTATCTGAAAGACTATTACATCAAAGCAATATACAAAAGATTACACTCATTCTAACAAATACTTTTTTCCTTAAATACTGTAAAAATCTGTATCACTAGCAACTACCTCACAGGGCCACTCACTGAAACACAAGATGAGGCCTGCTTGTTGCGACAACTGCTTTCAGCTTAGCAGTTTAAGGTAAAAACACCCTAGCAAAATATTTCAACAGATGTTTCAGTGTGCCTAAAAAGATGTTACTTTGAATTCTAGAATTCTTTTCTTGTATGTTCACATGTACTGCTGAAAATTCATGAACAAAGTATTTCAAACGCAATCCTTTCAAAGTCCATTTAAATAAACAGTGCTCAACAAAAATGAAACATGCTGTCAACAATTTGTACAAAGGTAAAGGTGAAAAATATAATTTGATTACAAAAGAATTTAACACCATCTGTACACCACAGATAACGCTTTTCATAAGATTAATTTATCACCATCCTCATTCAATCATTCTAATGAGATGTTATCTCTTAATTCATAAAGCATGCACTTTCTGTGTACTTATATGCAATAATTAGTGTTTCTATAGTAGTTCCTACTTTAGTGTGAACAGTTAAGATATTATACAGTGACTCAACTGAGATGAATGAGGGGGAAGCTTATGCATGTTATTTTACTGAAAAGATAGATATCTACTTGTCTAGCTCCAAAAGAGCCAAGAAAGGTAAGTGACAGAAGCACCAGCTAAGACTCTCTTGAACATAAATTCAGGCATTTTAATGTGTATCTCAGTAAAGCTACATGAGTTTCCATGTAGGTTATTCATACATATTATGGCACTTGGACTCTCCTAACAGGTATTTAGTTACCTAGGACATCTAGGCTAAAAAAGAAAAGGTCTGCTAAAATTAACCATTTCTATAAGAAAACACTTCTATCCCAACCTTCAAAACCCTTAATTTTCCTGGAAGTTGCACCAAAATACAATTGTTCATATTTTACATTATTTGAATAAGTTGCCTTTGACAACGATGTCACGTTAACTTTTAAGTTTAGATCTCTAGTAATTTGTGAACACAAAGGAAGGCAATCTTACCCACTTTCAACAAACCAAGTTGTGCCCTGCTCCTTTGTAATTGTAACACGGAGTATCGATACTTGTGTATCCATTCTTCTGTTGGACTTCAGTCTCTGAAGCAATTACACATATTAAGAAAGAAGTCCAAATTTAATTAAAGGCGGCTTACAATGGTAGCTTTTTCTCCATGTAAGGCATTATTCTGACATCTACTGGCCTGGTATCCAACCATACATTTTAATACACTGCATTTGTTATTAAAAAGGAGCATATATATTAATCCAAAGATATGAACAATTAAAGGAACACAAATGACATACATTTAAAACAGGCCTGTGTATTTTCATATAAATCTCACAACCCTACCAGCATTTTGGTAGGTTTCTATTGCTTTCTTAACTCATCTGAACTACTGTATATTATGAGGCTTTAATACAAGCAGCTTTGGGGAAGAAAGTTACATTTGGAAGGGAAAAGAAAGTTGTGACAAGTAAAAAAAAAATCCAAGAAGCTTTTTAAAAAAAAAAATCTTTACTTGCAAAATTAAGCAGCATGCTATTTTGTGATTTATATTTGAATTTAAAAAGACTAATTAGACCGAAATAAAAATAAAAACCTAAAAATGGCAATTCTATAAATAATGAAAAATTTTGATTTCACTAGACTTTAATGAAAAACATTTGGTAATTAAATACTTGCTACTGTTCATTACGTTGATGAACTTTATTAGGGTTAAAACTATAACAAAGTTCATCCTAAAACATTTTGCAATGCAAAATTATTTTCACTCGAGGAGTGTCTCAAATTGAATGCTAAGAATTACAAGCAATCTTCAGAAGCAGACACTCACATTCATAAAACTTTATACATCTTTTGGAACTAAGATATTTATACTACTAAAATCAAACATGCATCACTTCCCATACATTCTGGTATCATGATTTATATTACATTATGTAACACCATTCTTCTAAACAGCAGCAGGTTTATCATACGTTTGCTCCATTTTCTTTGGATTTCTGATCTTTATCTTCGTTCTTCACAATATCCTTTAAAAGAAAGAAAGGGAGAGGATAACATGAACTCTAGAAGCGGTATTTCTCATGTGAACTGTAAAGGAGCATGAGACAAAGATACTGTTTGGTGTCAACTTTAAATGCTATGTGAACTGGTATCTTAGTCTGTTTACTTATAACCAATTCATACTTCCAGTATCTTCCTGAAAAACAGAGGGGGCAGAAACTAAGTGTGACCTAAGCACTTCTGAAGAGAAGCACAAAAAACATCCCCAGAAGCCCCACTTTATAATCTAAAGGTTTGGGGGTTGTTGAGACTTTTGCATAACGACACTGATGACAGACAGCTGCAAGGTATTGCCAGTTTAATAAGCTACTGTGACTTACATGATGCATCACTTGTATCCTACAAGGGGGGAAAAAAGTTCTAACATTTGTCAAGTTTTCTAGGGGTGGGGGTGGGGTGGGGGTGTGTATGGGGCTGGGGGGGTTCGTTTTTAGAACTTCTGTATATGCTCTATTGTCTTTTCTAAACGAATGTAGACAGAAGTACAAGCAAGGCTCCCTCATAGTACCAGTTTGCCACTCAGTAGCCTTCATAACCTACTTCTATTCAACCTTACTTAACAGGCCCCCACCCCACAGCATTCCTAGGGAATATGCAAGTATCTTTCTGTACAGGGATAGACATGCTCTGGAACATTAGGTGGTCTGCTTAAAACTCATTTTACTGAAATACCCCCACATAAATTGAAATACTTAAGAGTAATTTTTCAAGGCAGAACCTAACTGATCAAACAGAAGAACAGATTTGGACTGAACAGAAGAGCAGATTTGGACTGTTGAGGATGGACAAGATCAGGACAGGAAAACATTACGATGGTTTGAGATGTACATTAATATTTATACATTTTTAAAAACAGTTAAGTCAAGAACATGTGTTTCAAGCTTATAAGATAATACTGCCCTGAATTCACGTGAAAATTTTTTTATGCTGAAGTTTTTGTTCTGATAATTTAGTCTACAGGAAGTCTGCATACAATAATAAAAAAATGGAATTAAACAATTCTAACCTGTTTAAGAACACTCTGTATTTCATCCATAACGGTAGCTAAATTTTTGATTGTCTTATTCAGCTGACCCTCAAATTGCAAATTTTTATCATCCGAGATCTTCAAATTTTCTTGCAGTTGGCCAAGGTCCTTCTTCACTTCTTTAAGCTCCGTAGATAGACTTTTGTTAGAATTCTCCAGTTGCAGTATGGTCTTTTCATCCTCATCTTGGGGGGAGGGGGGAGAAAAAGGTCAGTCACTTCCAATGCTGTGTACTTTGCATCTTCATATTCCATTTACATGCCAACACCACAACTACTAATTTTTAAAGAATAATAAAAACTGCATTGCATTACCATTTGATAATATTCTGACTACATTTGGAAGTCTTACATTCAACTTGAATAAAAAAAGATAAAAGCATTTCAGCATGGTGACAATGGTACTCAACAACAGTTGGTGTGCAAGTTCAAAGGGCTTGGGAAATAGAAAATGTAAGTTTATGGTAAGCAAATAGCTAAGAAATTTAGATCACAAATTCTACTCAAATTGGTTTATCTACTTAAAAAGTCTTAGTATCTTGCATCCATGTAAGCACCACCTTCCAAGTAATGTCCCACCTGTTTTTTCTTCTAGTAACTGAAGCTTTTGTTCTATCTCTGCCCGCACTCTTTCACTCTTCTCCAGCTTCTGTAAAAGGCTCCCAACATCCACCATAGCTCCATTGTACACAATGAGGCCAACATTTTCTTCTATGGCTTTTGATTCTTGCTTTATAGTAGGCGATGGTAACAGTAATCTGTTTCCTGTATTAGATTAAGCAGCATTAGGAAATAATCACTCTGTCCTAGTGACCAACCTCAAAAACTTCTTAGAAGAATAAATTCCTAAAAGAATAAACATAGATTCAAGTTTGCTGGTCTATCCTTCACATTTCTCTCCTCCCTCCTTATGCCAATTTCACGCTTCCCCCCCCCGCCAAAGGAGCATGTGCTTTCATTACATTCTTCTCTGCCTCCTGTCTGCAGTAATTTGTCCTAAAAAATCAGGCTGATCCTCCTGACTGCAAAACTGCTGTGAATGAGAAATGTTGTTCATCAATACTCAACATTAACCTCCGTCCTCCTTCTTGTTCCAAGATACTAAGATTTATCCTATAGATGCAACAAGATGTGTTGTAAGCCAGAAATGCTGTAATTTATGAACTGCCCAAGATTTACTTTTCCAAACTGGCAGGGTCCCTGCAGACCTGAATTAGTTCTGCAAGAAAGCAAGTATCTCAGAACTCTCATTATCATTCACACAGAAACAATTCTCTGGAAGTTTGTGGCATTAAAAAAAACCAAAACAATACCACCTAACATATCTTCCTGTAGCTCTTCAGACTCTTCTTGATTTTCTTCGTCTTTAGAAGTATCTGTTAGTCTTCTGTAAAAGCAAGATTCTCTAAGCACTACTTTATTAAGTAGCTTCTTGACCTGAAACACAGCCATGGAAAGAAATACGGTGTTACTTAATACACAGACATTGTATTACCTAAACAAGAATGTTACAATTTGGAAAAAACTTAGACAAATTGCACAGCTTTTTTAACTTTAATATACTGGGGCTTAAAATGAAAACAAGCTGGGGCAGGAAAAGATACCATTTTGAGACAAAAGCTATGTATACAATATGGGCATATTAAGAGCTGCAAACTTTCCCTTTTCATTCCAAGACAATTTACAAAATATTAAACTATTTATTGTACATATGAAGTGGCTACATAAAAATCAGGGTTCAAGTATGTAAGCAACAGCCTTTAGAAGCTAAACTATATTCCTGCCAGTTACAGCATTCCTTTAATATTTTCAAAGAGATTTCTATTACTATACAAAACCTGAGCACGTGACAGGTGTAGTCCAAGAGTGTACAGTATCTCCTCCATGTCCTTCTCCAGAAGATATCCACAATGACTTTGATCAAAATAAACGAAAGCCATCAGAAGATCCCTATTAAGAGTTACCATCTGCGTCTTGTCTTTCTCCTACAGAAAATTCATTATGGGATCATTAGGAAGTTAAAATATAATTTTCCCACCACCTACTAAAAACACGTAAACTTTTCGGTTAACAGAAGTCTTCCTCTGTTCATTTTATCATTACTTTCAGTCGAGTGATTAATATAACTAGCATTTACCTACTGAGCTCAAATATAATGTAAGCAAACTATTTAGGACAAGTAATCTTTCAAATATTTAAACAATTACAGCACAATGGAGAGTAACATCTGATAGACGTACTTTCCTTTTGTTCACGCTACTATGTAAGAAAATTTGTAAATTCATTAACCTATTTAAACAAGTAATAGTAAACATCCCTTCTCCTCCCAATCATATATTCTACTGAAGAGCTGTTTTCAAAGTGAAATCCCCATAAACATGTAATGGATGAGCATCCAGCTCTCACAGCTACAGTAGTTCTGCAGACTCTGTTTTCCCATTATTCCTGTTCCTACATCTCCTATTTCTCCTTGAAGAAAAAAAATAGAGTATCAGAAACTTGTTTTATTCTTGCATTTATAAAGGAAGTTTAAGCGTAACAAATCAAATTTATGCTGTTCCTTAATCTGAACTGTGGAGGCAAGCTATTGGCCTCATGACATGAAAAGCATCCATTTTCCTGCAGGGAGATGTAAAAACATCATATAACGATTCCAAGCTTCCCAATTGAAAAGCCAGTTTATCCATCAAGCTAAGCTTCTGCTTTTCTTATGTAAGAATACAGCAGTTTAAAATAATGGATAATCACATCTGCCGCCTCTTGTGTGCACATACAGCATTAGTCCTCACATCTTTCAGATCAGTATCTCATCTAAGAAAGTTCTTCCAACAGCTTTCACCCAATGAACTCTAAAATCTACGTCAAAGTAGGTTGCAAGCACCTTACCCAAAGCTGTCACATGTTCCCTACCTTCTATATACATTTAATGTTTCAGTCCAGAAGTGCTGAAGGAATCAAGGAGTGCAAATAGGTCTTATAATAAAAATGAAGTTAAGGTCTAATTAGGACACCTCTAACAAGGTTATATGTAGTTGTTAAGAAAGGTGTTAATTACTTTATCTTTCGACGACCTCTCTTTACAATGCCTGTTTCCCTCTCTTCTGTCCTCCCGTTTGTTCATTTCCTCTTCATCCCGGTCTGTAAAACAGGAAGAAAATTCAGCACATTCACAGCAAATGATTCTATAACCATTATCTCAAAATACGTATGTTCATTGAAAAAGTTCACATAAACCCCCAAATATCTGAAATTAATATATTTCCCTGAAAATAAAAAAAAACAAATGGCATGTAAGTGAGTCCTATTAAATTTTGATTTTTCTCTTGTCTTATTTGAACATAAGCCATTTGTCATTTTTTTTTTCCTCTGCGTTTCTTTCACACACACAGGATAGAAGAGCTGAAACAAACGCTAACTAGGCCAAAATGAGTTCCGCCAGCATCACCACCTATTTAACCGGTGTGCAGAAAATTACCACAATTCTCCCTAAATGAGGCTTGGCAGAGTCTGCATTCAGCTATGGTTATTCCTGTTAGGACAAAATCAGTACTATTTACTCTCAAATAATATTTTACATCATAAAACCCATATCAACTATATCATTAAAAGCATGTGTTTACACTCATGTCTGAGTGCGATATTACTGATCCAATGATTTGGATTCTCCAAAAAGTTACAGATCACATCGCTTATTAGATGTGAATTACAAACTACAGGTTTTTTGTTTAAAGGTAGACAGTACAGTAAAACTAAATCTAAAATCAAGAGAGAAAGAGGAATATGACAACTGCAGGGACGGATTATGGCATGCAGCTCTGTACCTTATGTGCAAGTCTTTGGTCAGAGAATCACGTGCCAAGTTCAGCTTTAAGCTCACCTTTCTTGTGAGAAAAACTTTGGAAAAAACTATGTATCGCAACACTTGTCTAATTTTGCCAACACGTTTCTGAGAACCAATAGCTTTCTCCTGCACCTCCACGGCATGTTGGATTGTTCTCAGCAACTGTGACTGGGAATGGCACAAGGACAGATTATGGGAAGTAGCAGCACTTGTACAGAACAGACAAGCCCAGGGCACTCTCACAGCCAGATTATAAGCGAATAAGAGTTATTTTGGAAACCACAGGTTAGCACCAATTTTTTTAAGGCTGGTGCAGTACTCTGCCAAAAATACAACTGAAAATGCTGGTTAGAAAATGCTGGGACTGCAGTATCTAAGCAGTTCAAACCCACATCTCTAGCAAAAACTCTCCACAAAAGGACAAAAACCCCAAAGAAGTACAAACCAAGAAGCATACACCATGTCTTACGCCTTTCTGAATCTCCGAGCAGGGACAGAGGGCTACTGCTACTCCCTGGAGACAAGAAAGTTCCCCAGCCCCCTTCCCAGTTTCTTCAGTAAACACAGCTCCACCCAAACAGAAATCAACTCCTCATAACATCATGTAAAGAGCACCCCACACTACATTCTGGCCTAATAAAAACAGGATGACATTTCAGAACTGAGAAATAGGAAGTTAGGCACTTAAAAGTGGCTTGGTTTTTCAGAGGTGCTGAATACTCACATCTCCTACTGACTTCAATGGGAGTTGCGAGTGGTCTGCATTCTGAAAAAAATAAAACCACTTCTATATGCATGCCTTGCTTTGAGTACCGCAGCTCGTTTATATTAACTATGTTCATACAATGCCTAGCATAATGGCACTTACATTTTAAGTAGATCTGGTTAGAATTACTAAAATAAAATTAGTCTAATAGCACAATTTTAAATTGTCTAGTTCCAGTGCATTCTCCAGTTTGAAAGAATATATTCAGTGGCAATAAAAAAATTTCTAAAAGCCACAAAATTCATAATTCAAGATACCTTCATCCTCATCTTCAGCATCTTCTGCCTCCATTGGATCATATTCTTCTTGATTATTGTCATCTTCAGTTTCTTCTTCATCTTTAGAATCATCTTTCCTTTTATCTTCCCTCTGTAACAAAAGTTCCTAAAAATTTATCCAGTCAGAACTAAAAACCAGGAAAGTAAAAACCTCACTAACATTCATTCAAAATTTGCCTATGTTTATATTTAGTCACTTAAAAAAACAAATACAAATCTATGTGATATAGCTGAATGTTAAAATACCCCCAATACACCTGTAAAATTTTTAAATTACTGAATACAATTGAAGCATATTTAAATAGATCAATGAGTCAAATCAATTAACTAACATTACAAGACCTGAGTTTTCGAAAGCAATAAAGTAAAATTCAAATAGAAACAGTTTAATATTGATCCAGACAGGATAGTACTTCATATGAACTAGCTGCAGACCTTCTTTTCATCTCTATCTTCTTTTTTGTCTTTATCATCTCCAGATTTTCTCCTCTTAGGTTTTGGATCATCTGTTTCATCATCTTTTTCTTCTTTTTTTTCTTTTCTCTCATCTTTTTTGCTTTTTTTGTCTTTTTTGTCCTCCCTCTCTGGGAGAGAAATCAGTGCTTTGTAAATTCTGACACCAAAATCTCTCTGAAGCATTTCATTGAAGAGTTCTGCAAACAGCGATACCTGCACATAAAGGAGAATGAAAACAGAACTGACAAAAAGTTTTAAAATATATATTAAAAATCTGTACACTTATGATTAAATAGCTATGAGGTGCTATCTTACCAACTTTCACCATGTCAGAATTTTATGTAGTGTCAGATTTCTTAATATCTACTTTGAATACAGAAACCTTAACCAACTTTATAAAAATGCTTCTTTCCTGCACTGCAGTAGCTTAGGACCTAGACTAGCTGTATAAATTATAAACTCAGTTCCATATCTGAAAACCTGTGCATTTCTTCTGGATATCATAGAGTGAATATACTGGTATTGTAAACCATGGACTGGACAATTTTTTCTAGGTATTGCACAAAGAAACTAACTTAAACAAGTTTTATTTTGCCATGCTATCATAAACGATTACAACTGAAGAATACTGCAGTTATCACATAGAATTAAAAAGAAACGAGAATGGCTAACTCTAAGTAGCATAGGTAAATTACCTCAAAGGAATGTTCTTTATTATCTTCTAATCTATAGTCCAGAAGAACACTAAGAGACATAATGCTACAGTCAAACTTCCCACTCTTTGCTGCCCAGTTAGGATGTACAATGATTGCTGGTTCATCGGGCAAGATATATCGTCTCTCCCGCCGCTGACGTTCCATTTCTTCTTGACGTTTTCTTTCCTCTTCCTAAAAAGAGACAAAAAAATAATATACGGCATATTCCAAAGCTGAAGTTTCAGCCTCTATATTAGTTTTTAGGACTCACTTCTTTAAAGAAAGTGAAGGAAAGCCTAAGCTGCGGAATGCAACACAGAAGACAAAGTCACAGACTAGAATTTCCAGAATGCATACTGTGTCCATTGCCAACACTCACCTAAGACAACCGGAAACTTGAGCAACACAAAGAAGGACATGCAGTGTTGTTTAGCCCGCAGAGCAACGAGCACCTTCCAACTATCTTATGGTGCTAACCACAGCATGTTGATTTGACATCGGAAGGACTCAAGCTAGTTCACTTCAAAAAATGGTATGCAAGCTAGCAAAGGAGTCGATGCTCCTGAGGGGTCTATTGTTTATTTAGGGGTGTTTTTAGAGCTGTACAGTACAGCAAGTTCTCTTATTCCTTACACAGGAAGAGTAAAGGCTTCATGCATCATCTTCTCAAAGATATCCAACACAGCTTTAACACTTAGCAGATGACAATTTCCTCAGCTCTTTTCGTTATGGGAAATTCAAGCTCTATAGATACAACTGATGCAAATCAAACAAAAGGTTAAAAAAGGGAAAATACCAAGCAGCTTACTGATTGCCAAGAGAGACATATTAAAGGCTTATGAGTATGGAAAAAAGTCATGGCAGAGCTTGTGCTTTTTAAAAAAGCAAGCACAATCAAAGCTCCCTCCCCTAATCTTAAAGAAAGCTGTGGCAAGAAACCCCAAGATAGCAGAAGCCCATCCAAGCTGTGGGAGAAGGCAGCAGCTGACAGAATTAGCAAGTACATGGCCTTTTCTCCCTCAACAAGGTTTATAGAAAATTTCAAATCATTCCATCTTGGTTAGCAGGTAATACACAAAAAGGCAGGTTTAAAAGCAACTAACACACAATACATTGTCCAGACATTTATGCTCCTTTTCTGTGGTTGAGCTTTGCTTTGGCCTTATTGCACAGATCTTGTTTATCCTTGTGAAATAGCAAAACAGACTAAGTAGTACTGAAACACCAACTGCAAAACTGAGAAACTGCAATACACAGGAAGTTTATCCAAAAGCAAAAATTAAAGCTTCATAACAAGGGAAAACAAACCTAAGCAAACCATTAGCCATGTGAAGAAACTGGACTGTTTGAGACACTATAACCTTCTACAGACTGGAACCTGCCCTCCTCCCATTTCCACAATAATTCCCTAAGGCCTGTATGCCACTAAAAGCCAATACAACTGAACAGCTACTTTCCACATAGGTTTAAGAAGTTAAGATCTTGTTAAGTGTGTTCACCTGTTCTCAAGCACAGTTTTTCTCAGGAGTTTGGGATTTCTTTTTCCTTACATTTAAGGTCTGACATTAATTCACACACCCTTAGTGCACTTGCACATTTCAGCTGACTTTGCTGATATAAAGAAATGCAAACTTGCCAAGATTTCACTCCAATTCAGCAGCTCAAGTTACACCAAGAGCTCCCAGTACAGTCATCCGAGAACTACAAAATCCCAACACAACTAGGCATATTCCTCTACTTTTTATACTTATATTTATTTATACAGATTTTAGATATGATATTTTATGTATTTATGTGTATTTAATAAGACTGAAACCAAATATGTCCAAAACCTAACCTCTTTGTCATCTTCAGATTTCCTATCCTCCTCCTCTTCCTCTTCTTTCTCAGACTTCTCTAGCTCCTTTTGCTCTTCTTTTTGTTCCTCTACTTTCAGCTGCTTTGTCAGTCGAGCTATCAACTGAGATTTCAGTCCTTTAGAGCTAAGGGTTCGACTTTCTAATTCTTTGCGAAGGTCATTTACCTGGTAAATAAAAGCTCTGTAAGTGGTATCAACCAGTGACATTGCAGAACATTTGATTAGCAGAAAAGGTGAAGTAAAAATTAAGTAAGAGCACTGAAAAGTCATCTGTATTTTTTAAATCTGTACTGAAAAACACTAATATTTACTGATATATAAAACATATTACATTTAAAGTTGTGTTCTCCTCAAAGAATCCCTTTCTGAGGAACTTTTCACAGGGGCAGGGAAAGGATTTTACTACAGTAGAAGAGTTTATTACTATTATTCCTTTCGCGGAAACTTTTTATTATGTCTCCTGACATACATTTTGGTATAATTATTGCCTTTTTAAACTAACATTTAAGTATTTTAGATCCCACATTTTTAATACAAGTAGATAAAATCAGATTACTGCAGAACCTTCATTTTCCAGTTAAATGTATCATATGTGATACCCTTTAATTGTACAAAGTTCAAAAGTTCAGAATAGTTTCAATTAGCTGTCTTTGCTTATTAAAATCAGGAGTCATACTTACATACTATGATATCACATCTAATACCTATAAATCAGCAAGGAAGATAAAACACTACTGAAGTTTTTTGGTCAGTTAAGGGAATATATAGCCATATTTCAGGTTGTGCCTTAAAAATTAAAATGTACCATGGAATCCAATTTTAAGAAAAGTGCTAGTTACCTTCATTGTTTTTGGATCCAGTTTAGACCAGTGCGTAGGTGTAGAGATCTCTTTAGCTTCCCCATCATCCTTTTCCTCTTCGTCCTGACAAATAAAATTTAGAAATTATCATTCAGAAAGCTTGAAACCATTTCAGTTATTTTTTAAATTCTGTTGCTGATCTGTGCAAGGTCACAACTGTTTCAGATAGTCTTCTCCTAAAGTTATTATTTAGACAAGTTCACACACACATTCTACCACTTTATAAATGATCACAGTGCCACTCAGCCAATACAAGCCAGATCTGTGGAACACAAAAGGGTGATAAGCAACACCACAAAGAATATCGGGGTTACACAGACACTGCTGGTCTCCATTAACCACACAGTGTGTGATCTTCCCCCAGATTTTAAATCCCCAAAATTACTCTTTGTTCAGTCAGACCTTCCCTTATTCCAAGTTGTTGATCAGCCACATGGCCTGAAATTCAGATGTTTCAGACTAGTGTTTGTTCGATTTCAAATATCACAATTAGAACTGGCCACAAGAGAGAATTTAGAAATTTTAGAAAATGGCAAAATGTTTAAAGACAGCTATTCATAAACTGCATCTCACTCAACAACTGGTCCCAGATTCCAGCAACTACGTCTATGATAAAAATTTTCTGCGCATCATAAGCACAATTTAATTCCGTTTGTGATATCAGCATACACATTTAAAGTTAGTGAACTAGCTGAAATAAAAATAAAAACCAACATTCACTACACTGCTGAAAGCTGGTTTACCAGTCATTGTTACCAGTTATGTTCCTCCTATGTATGTATGTTGTGTAGTATGTGGTGTGCATTTTGTGCCTGTGTTCCTGTGCCTGTGAGAAGCAGAAATAGAAAAAGGGATTAGCGTTCAGTGCCTGTTCTCCATCAGCCTCCTTGCGTTCACCCTGAAGCTTCTCGACCAGCTGCTGCTTGTATCCTCGGGAGAGGGTTTCCCACTCTGAGCGGGTGGGAAGGCAATGCCAAACATCCGGGAAAAATAAAACCACTGTCTCCACATGAGCTGGAACTGTACGCCCCTTGTGGGTCTCCTCAGGGCGATGGTAGCGAATCTCTGCAAAACGGTACCTGTTGCAAGGGAAGAAGCATGTTGGAAAAAAAATTCTACAATACATTTTAAAGAGCCTAGATCACTTGTAGCACATCAAGTAAAGAAACTTTGCTGCAAGACCTTGAAGTTTATCTAAAGAAAAAAATTATGAAAGCCATATTTTCTCTTTTGGCACATTTGTAGAAAAGTATCACAATTGAAAAGGAGGAAACCCAACAAAATTCTTTTTTCTGTAACTTGTTGTTTAGCACACATAGGTTTGATGCGCAAATAAAAGTTGTTGAAGCACGTCAAATTTAGCATACAATTGACCTTCCTGGTATTAGTAAAACCGCAATGAGTGTTAACACAGGACAAAAACTTATCAAGAGAAAATATGGCTATATAACGAACAGCTATTTATTTATAACAAAAGAACAATGAAATGAAGTTCTCTTGACGATCTTCTCCAGCTATGCACAAAATGAAAAGTATTTTCAACGCACATTCATTAAAAAAATTACAGCATAACATGTCAAAATAAATCCAGAATTTTTAATTAGTTCTTAATGCAGTATTCAGCACAGTTGGCACCAATCAAGCTTATTACAAAACAGAACATCCTTTGAGTAGTTTACCTGCACTACCAAGAGCAGCCGACAAAGAAAAAGAGGTTTTTCCATATTTTTTTTTTTTTTTTTAAACTTCTGGTAACAGACAAGTATTTCTACAGCATACTTTGTTTTGCAGTACAGTACTTACCATTGTGTGCACACACTTAAGTCAATCCCTGTAAGAGCCTTGCAACAACGAATAGCCGTCTTTATCAGCACGGAAGGGTCCTTTTCTGGATCAGGTCCATCCAGTGATGGGGACCAGTGTCCTCCAATAGCCATAGCTTCATCTTTGCCTTTCATACCCACTAAAAACTAGACAAAAAGAGTCTTCTGAATGTTCCCCAGCTAGGGGTAAAGAGTCATTTTTCCCAAAGCACAAAGAATATTTCATAGCACACACACTGAAATCCGTGAGTAAACTGTCACATCATTTTGAAATCTGAAAATGAAAGTCAGTCAAGAAAGAGTTCAGTTATTTTTTTCCACAGAGTATTTCAGAAATGGAATAGGTTTAAAACATCATTACTCATTCTTGTTTGCAAGACTTTCCATCAAGTTGCTTTATTGGTATAGGCTTGTTCCTTTGTAATTAAAAGCTTTCTAACACAAAAGAAAAACAGATACTAATTTAAATGGTGTCTTAATTCCTTTACAAGTGATAAAGCAAAGCTACAAAAGATAAGACCGCAAGAGCATTATATCTATAAATTCAGGTACTCCCATTTGCTTTAAGACAATGGACTTTAATCAAAAACAAGTCTGTGTTGTCCTGAAACACCACAGCACTTACAGGTTGTTCAGTTTAACAATAGTTAAATTTCACTTAATACAATGGTTACTTAACTGTTGCTTCATTTGTATTCTCTTCACAGTTGAGCCCTTAAAAAAAAGTCTAAGTGCTTGTCAAAGAAGGCTAACAAAGGTAATTATTATATAATTAATACAGGTTTCTCCAAATATCTTTTGTTTAACTGAGTTGAACAATGCAGTAAATAAAAAAGCAGTGAAGATGGAGCTCCTATACACTGGAAAAAGAATTGACATATAAACTAGGTCTCTCCAGAGGAAAAATGAAGCCATTATTTAGCTGCCTACAAACTCCTTCCTTATCAACAAATATTTTAAAGCTCTATAACCAACCTTTATTGCCAAAAGTGTCTGGCATTGAAGCATATTTACCTTTACAAGTCTAGCAGGATGCTGAAATCCATCACGAAGTTCTTGGGGATCTTCAGCCAGAGCACATGACTTGTGATAGAGATCCTCCATACTAGGACTAGCCATCAACATCACCTGTTGTGTAAGCCAGATCAGTCTTGTCAAGGTCTCCCACCATGACTGGTAAACAATGACCACAACTTGCAAACACACACATACCACTACTTTTTCCTTAATGTCATAAAAAATCAGAACAAGTAAAGGTAAAAAAAATTGTAGAACTCAGTGTTAAAATGTCTGCCAATTTCCCTCCTTTCCATATGGACGTAATGTGTGATCTTATTAGAAAAAACTAAACTGAAAGCATATAAAAGCAACATGCTTCACGTGTTATCACTATATGCCAAATACCCTATACCAAGAAGCACACTGAGTACATTTCTGGTTTCAGTAACTGACTCCTATTTTGTCACAATCACAAGAGAACTGATCAACACATTCATCTGCATCCTCGTGGCATCCCATTAGCCCAGTGAAATCTAACAAGATTGCTTTATATCCTGAACAGGTTAATATTATGAAACAGGATGCTATTCCTCAGTTACTGAATATATTTTGAAACTTAACCTTCTGAAAGAAAGCTCTTGCTTTGCATCAACAGACTGAAAAAAAACAGTATGTCTGATATTTCAGCCAAGACTTCAAAGTTTTTATACACAGAAGGCAAGTAAAGTCTTTCAGAAACACAGGGGTTAAAGGCAGTTTTGTTTCTAAAAGCATCTTCAACATGAAATACTTCTAAAACAGATTGACCTAGAAATCTTAGACCTATTTTAATGAAAGTGCTTTCAAATGGAACAGGTTTTAAGAAGACGTTTTGACACTGAGGTCTTTTACACATTATTATAGCCCTTGCTGCAGTGGTTTTTGACATTCAACTAATCCCAATATGCTCTATCTACTTTCAACAAAATAATAAATATTGAGATTAATCTGAAAGAAGGAAATATCACTACAGAAGACCACAAACTGCACAGAAAGAACCCTTGAAAGAGGGAAAAAAGGTGTGCTCCATTAACTATTTAGAATAAATTGCCTAAGAAATACATTCAGAGATCTTGCAGGAGCTGACTTTCCTATAATCACATCAGTGCAACTGGGTGCAGAGATTGGAAGAGACCTAAGTAAAAACAAGATTTAGGACAGCTCTAGTAACAGAAAAACAAACTGAATTTCAGCCATGATTCTTCACACTCTACATACTAGGTCTTTACTGAAAAGTTTAAAATGCTGTATTTTGCTCAAATGGCTGTAGAATATTTTCAGTTCAGTTATACTCACTTTTTCACCCTATTGGTAAAAAAAATTTCTAATGAATAGTCGTAATACTGGAAACCCATACAAACCTTTGCACTGTATAGATGATCAGCATCGGGTGGATCAAGGACAGCAGCATTTTTATCTATAGGATCTACTTCTCTATGCATTACGTAGAAATTACAGTAGTTTCCCAGCTGAAATGGTCTAGACATAGGAAAAGCATCCACCCATGTAAACTGAGCATCAAAGAAATCGCTTGGGATATACAAGTTCTGGTAACGCCTCCTCAGCTCCATCATATCACAGCTACGGCTGAAATAAACAACATTATTTGAAAGATACAGCAACAAAAGAATCATTAATAAAGCACATAATTAAGAAGTATATTAATTGGAAATACAACCATTGTATATTTAATACTATATATATAAAATTTAAAGAGCAATATATTTAAGTTAGAGTGTCATGGATTGAAGTTTAAAAACAAGTAACTACTAAACACTCTTCCTATTAACGTGTCTGTATATTAGGGAATATTTATTAAACAGGGTTATAAAGGTATTTTGCAGTAGCATTCAAAAATAACAAAGAACCTAGAATAAGTTTATCATACAAGGTTCTCAGCCATTACATATTTGATTTTTCTTTAAAATCATCATTTAACACTCAGTACACGCAGTAATCTGTGCCCACAATTGAAGTGAGATGTAGGTAAACATCTGGCACTATGAACATACCAGTCCAATGAAAACTTGGAAAACTGAACCGTGTAACGAGGAACAACACGTCGCGGTCTTCGAGGTGACCTCTCCCTCTCTCGTCTAGGTGATCTCTCTCTGGAGCGTTTTCTCTGGGGTGATCTTTCTCGGGACCTACGTCTCTCTCGTTCTCTTTCACGACTTAAAAAATGCATACAAGATACAAATATTTTTGCGTGCTGGTAACACAAAATGGTTTCTAGCACAACAGAAGCTAGACCTGTCAGAGATGACTCACAAAAAGGAGAGGAGAAGTTCCTCATAGTTTGTTTCAGTACACTGTCTCTTGTAAAGAGAGACTGATTACGCAATTCTTTCATTTCAGACAGACAAGAACTCGTCACTAATATCTAACAGTAAAGCCATTTGTGCATATCACTGATTCCCTCTGGAGCAAGAAGCTCAGCTCTGTTTGAAGACAGGTCTTTACAGAATGCTTTGATTATAGTCTAGTCTTCTACAACATACCTCCTGTCATCTTTTCGGTTTGGCATAGCGTCTCCTCCTCTGTCATTCCTCCCAGAAAATCTGGATGGTGGGTCTAATCTTCGAGCTGGCTGAGGCTGTGAAACTAGACGAACAGGGGGCTGTAACAAACCACCTGAAACAAAAATTTACAAGATCAATACATAATAGGGGGCAACTATCTACACTTTACAAACATTGCTGCTTTACAGTTGTTTCACTTGTGTACATCTTCTAAACTAACTCCAGAGTCAAATAAATACTAATAACACCCATCCCAACTGAAACTGAAGCTGGTTTAAAAGCATCTCCTTGAGATGGAAGCTAATATAATCTAAGCACATAGAAGCTATCATAGTAAATAGCTAAGCCTTTTCTTGGAAAAGTAATTTGTTTTAAGATAGATATACTACCTATTCATTGAACTAAAGAAAACCTAAAACTTATTTTTGAGACTATTCATAGGTAAAAACAATTAGCTTCCTGAAAAATTATTCTTAAATCAATTTATTATACTGCTGCAGCAATCCCCCAGCATATACTTTTACTGTCTTAAGACATTTAACCAACTGATTGTAAATGGAGCAAACATTACCAACACCAATGAACAACTAGGACTAATTACATCGTATTAAGCATTTATCCAAAACGGTTCTGCTTAGGTGATAGCTTAAGATCTTCTCCCCTTGCTTTTACTGTGGGTAAGACAAGTCTTAATTTTATCTTATTATCAACCCTGTTACTGACTCTTCAGCCACTCAAAGTTCAAGTGACCCCACAACAACCTTTGTTTTAGATTTGCCATGTTCATGGCAGTGTTTCTTCTCCCAAATGCCAACTTGGCTAACTGAAATAAATAAAACACAAATATAGAAATAATAGTTTTAACAATACAACTGTGTGAAACCTGATCTTGTTGAACGCTCCTGAAAATGCTGAAGATGATGACTGCCATTAATAATTTCAACTCCCCAACTTGTCTGTGAAAGTGTCAGAACAAAAGCTACACTGAATTTGATTTCAGATTATGAAATCTTAATATGAACCTAAGTCCACGGGGATTTCACTAACCAGGTGATTCTTGAGCTACTGCAGGCAACGTGCCCTGCATATAGGTGCAGGAAGATGCATATTCAAACTGAAAATTCTATAGGGTCCTTTCTGTACTATTTCAACTATTACTTCAGTCTTCTAACAAAAAAATAATATTCACGCACTAAGCACCAGAAGGACTACAACAAATTTTGTGCACTGAAGGAGCACCTTTCTGCTGCGGCTGCTGCAGTAATGGCTGAGGCTGTGTCTGAAGCAAAGGTGTGATTGAAGCTGCTGATATCTGTGCCTGCAACAAGGACTGTGGCTGCGGCTGTGCCTGAACACTGAATGCAGTCTGCTGTGCAATGGGCTGAAGAACTGCCGGAGGTGTCTTCAGTAATGGCTGAGCTTGCGTCTGGTTCTAACAGCAGAAGAGAAAATGAGTTGTGAGTGAGCTTGAACGAGAAGCAGTCAGTACAAGTTACACTGGGTAACCCCATGTACCTGATTTGGAAGTGTCTGGATCCTTTGTGCATTCCATTTGAATGGCATATTAGGATTGTAAGTAGCTTCTACCAAAACTCTGTCACCCACCTGAGGTGTCTTTCCTTTAACCGCACTGCAAACATTGCAGAAAATGTATTGTGAGAGTCTTATTTAGCTAGTTTTACATTTGCAAGTTACATTTAAAGTGGAGAGAAAGTAGATAAAGTTCATTAAAAAAGCTTATAGGAATAGCATCCACCCCAAAATTCAGCGAAAGTACTATCTGCTTCAGTTCTGAGTATGCACAGGAATTTAATTCCTGTCTTTGGCCCAAAAGCAGAAGTTCCCTAAAGAGTACTGAGTAAAGATAGGCAGACAGCAAGTTATATGCATTTAATCACCCACAAATTCTGCAATTTCATATTATGAGGAGCTTAATACCTTCCGAGTCTCCCAGCTTTGGGTTTTGCATTAAGAAAACTCAAAAATTCACATAAAGGAACTCACATCTGCTGTCTGTTAAACTTATCTCACCATCTGACTTCCAGTGTTGACAGAAAAAAACCATACTAACTGCAGGCACTACCAATGGAGTCACAGAATTAGAATGCAATAATCTAAACCTTTTATTTAGGGAACATATCACGGAGTACATCTGCAGGCAAGTATTTACATCTTACCTAAGCTGAAAAAAGACATCTTCGTCCACAAAACCAAATGTATCATGTAGTTTAGTAACTACCCCAGTGAAGACACGCTGCTTTTGTGGCTGGGTTTGCTGTTGACTTGACCGGGGTGCTGGATAAGAAACAGTTATCTGGGCTGCCGGTTGAGGAGTAGACAGGCTAAGACTGGTAGGTAGCGCAACAGCTGGCTGCAAGCAAAATAAAGCAAACTATAAATCTTATAACCAGCTGACATATCTACAAGGAACAGTTCCTTTACCCATGTAGACAGGAGTTTAAAACGTCTCTAAAGCAATTATTCTGAATAGAGATTTTCAGAATGTGGAAGTTGGGGTGTTGTTTTTTGTTTTTTTTTAATTTTTTAGAATTTTTTTCTACTTTGAATGAAGACTGGCTTTGTTTATCCTTTTCTTTTAAAAAAGTCAACTTCCCCAAAATACACACATTGCCTAGAAAAAAAATAAAGACTGCACTATTGTTTACAGGTAACCCATACAGTGGGCCTGAAGAGGAGATAAGTTCCTAACTTTGCTAGGAATACACACTTAAGAGATTATTCTCCATTTATATCCCAGCTGTAGTGTTGGAAGTCAGTAAAGGTTGAGGCTAACAGGAACCCTTCCTTAACTCAACAATTCACGTGCTTGCCTTCTTGCAAAAGCAGAAGACAGTAAGATATGAAATTAAGTAACCTATTTTTACCTTTTTTTTAAAGCACGTTTAAAAGGTTAAGTGAAAACGGAACTAGAGCAACTTACAGTGTGTTAAATGGTTGCATGTTTTAAACCTGTCAAGCTCAGCAGGATTCTTTTTAAACCTCTCTATACACATACTGCAATGCTGTTAACACAGAAAGTTAAATTCCTTCTAAAAGGAGAGAAAGAAAGATTTTCCCAGTTTGTTACTTACTGCAAAACAACTGAACACTTGAAGTTCAAGCCAAAAAAAATTATAATGTAATCAACACACATATTCCCTTCAAGATTAAGGAAACATGTTTGCCGTTAATTTTTGAAACCAAGGCTATGCATATTTTAACATCTGGATAAAATAAACCTGTACCAATAAAATGCCCATTCATGTTAGTTCATTTTACAGATTAAACTACCCAAGACGTCACAAATTTGCACTCTTGCATTATCTGTGTTTGGGGATGAAGACCAAACAATAAAACCAAACTAACCTGAGTTAAAAGGGTCTGCTGAGGTTGCTGCAACTTAAAATAAATAAAGTTATAAATTAATTTTATATGCTTAAGGAAATTGTACAATTTTACCTCCTCTTTACAAGTAAGAGTTTTTGCTTAATCTGAGTCAGTTAATGGTCCTCTGGGGTTTGGTCATTTCAGCAGTTTGCATATGCATAGAATTGTGCTCATGTGGTTAATTTTAAGATTGTATAATCCAGGTTTATTCAGTAAGCAGAAATGCTGGGTTTTTTGTAACTGAAAGTTAATAGCAATACCAAAAAAAGTTTTGGCAGCTGGAGAAGCTTAGGCCTGTAATTTCCGTGTCCTTTTATTCTTTTTCAAAATCCTGTTAAGTTCAAAGACCATAAAAAAATGTAAAAGGGAACTTTTTTTGGACAGCATCTTTCCAGCAGTTAAAATACACGGCCCTGTTTAGACCAAAGTTTAGCAGGAATCGTGTGCACATGGAATAGCATAGATTTTTAAATTTCCTTTTTGCGTGAAGGTAGGCAGGCTTCCATTCTGGATACGTCTCTCCAAGTTTATGAACTTCAAGCTCTCTTTCACTACAAAAAAATATTACTTAGTTTCTTTAACAACTTCCCATACGAGGATGATTTTGGAGACAAATCCTACAAGACACACAACTAACATTATTTTTAAAGTTATTTGTGATGTACACAGTAAGAATCAGACAAACCTGTTGCTGTACACTATAGAGAGTCTGCTGAGGTTGTGAATATTGCTGAAACAGATAAAAGCAAAATATCTCATAAACAGGAAGTATTATTACCCCAATAATACCAAATACAAGTTATCTGCTAAGCAAGTTTTAGACAGAAACTATTCACATTTAACAATTCTAATACAAAACATAAGCAATAGTATCAACATATATTACTTTCATAACAAATATTCTTAGCTTTTAGAGCGGACTCCGATGTGCTCTTTCTAGCTAAAATCAGCAATTTTTGTTAAACCTGACACATACAGTATCTAGAGCACAGTATGAAATTATGCAAAATGCTATTAAGGATACATATAGTGATGGAAGACACTTGGAACTTGAGATTCTCCATTTAGGGGCAGCAGAACTCCTCATCACAAAAGGCATGCCATAGCTAAAGTCAGCACCGCCATAGCTAAAGTCAGCACCGCCATAGCTAAAGTCAGCACCGCCATAGCCAAAATTCCCACCTTCACAGATTAATACAACTATTGATAGCTGTAGACCTAAAACCCCATTGTTTTTTATACAGGTTTATACTGCAATGTTCACCATTTCCCATTCTGCTTTTCTCCTGGATACTTTAGCTTTACAAAGCCACTGGTTTATATTGTTAAAGTTCATACAGTCAACAACAAATGCTCCTTTTTCTTTACCTGCTGTAACGCAGCTGCTGCAGCTGCAGCTTGCTGCTGTAAAGCAGCTGTCTGAGTTAGCTGATAGTTCGTTGGTGTTTGTGTAGTTAGGCCTGCTGCTGCCAATGCCGTCTGCTGGGTGTATATTGTAGGAGAGGCTCCAAGCAGCGATGGCTGCTGTACACCAAGAGCAGCTGAAAAGAGAAAACACACAATAAGCACTAAGAGCAACTTTAAACAGCTGAGGTTTCTGACAGTTGTACTAGACGCAGTACGTGATGCTTCACCCCTGACTCAAGCTCGTGAAGTAGATAAATCCAACTACAAAATTCAAGATAAAGGATCACACCTCACTAGCTTCTCTTCTAAGTTCATTTACAAATAGTACACCACAGCAGAGGCACAGAGACCGCTTAATTTCCTTCTCTCAAGTTGCTCATGATTTTATAGCTCTAGTAGCTGTCATCCCCATCTGCGCCCACCCCCAACACACACACTGTACTCTTTCTTGAATGTATTTCAGGTTTTGGATGAGATTGTTGCTCTGTTCTGTAAATCAATTACTACATTTCATTCTATCTGAGGGCAAGAGAAATCTTTACTCTTATAGCAGCTATGAAACGGAGGCTTATAGAACGTCTCCTCTGAAAATGCACAAGGCTTCGCTTCACTCAGTACTGTCTTTGTCCCCGAGTGAGCTGGATTTTGTAGATGTGGGGGCTGGTAGAGAAGGAACAGCCTTAAAACAACAAGGAGTTTAATCGGTCCCCACATATAAAGGGACCAAAGTCAAGCTCTCTCCAGCTCTTACTAGAAAGTGTTTGTGCTGCCCAGACTCAAACTGCCTAGAAGGAAGTATGAGTTTATTTTATTGTCATATCAGCTTTTAATTCACTGCAGAAGATGAAGCAAATCATGAGGAGCAGCTATCCATGTGCTATGCTTCTTATGCATGCAATACTTCTGAACATGGTATGCTTAAGCCTTACGGTCGGAACTTTTAGAGACAAAGAGCCCTCCACAATGCAAATCTCAGTGAAGGACTGCAAACATATCTGGAAACCTGCTCCCTCTGTGGCAGGAGTTGTGGTTTTTTTTTTTTTTAAAAAGTTATCTGCAGCTGCATGATCAAATATCACTTCATCAAGCTATCAGTCTAGTCCACATGTTTAAATAAAACCAAAGAGAAACTCAACAGGGAAACTTATTGCCAGCAAAAACAGGTCAGCCAGCCACCTTCAGAACTGAAGAACATTCAAGTTGAATAGGGTTCCTTTCTCTTCCAAAGCCATAAAGAGGCACAATGAAATGAAGAACAGATTTACAGTATTCTTCCGGCAGAGTTTGTGCTCCTCACTGTTCTTACTGATCCAAAATGAAGCTGTCATTCCTGACCCAGGGATGCAGTTAAGATTGCTTGTAGCTGGTGATCACCACCATAGAACACACAAAAATGCTGTAACCAACTCAACAGATCTGAATAAGGTAATCCTCTCTACCATGCTGTTCTTTCCAGCAGAGTACAATCTTCAGAAAACAAGTTGATGGCACTGACCATCGTACAATTTTGGAATGAAACATGGAAGAAATATATAAGCAACAGTGAACATAATCACCATCACTATGATCTGTATCAAATATTGTCACATAAGTGTTCCAGAAAGTAATACTATTTTAATAGTGAAATCAAGCATTCTATAGTACAGCAAAATTACAGTATTTCCAGTATTACATTATTTTTCCCTGGAAAATTCCAACATTTGGGTTTCTTTAGAAGCAAAGCAAGCCAAGTCTGAGGCTTCTCCTGTGACAGGCCCTCCATTCTCTTGATCCTCTTCCCTCCTGCTTGCCCATCAGCTGCAATTTGAACGTGCATTTTTGACCATCCGGACCACTGTCATCTGGAACCTCACCAATGCCTCACATAACACACCTTAAACAGACCTTTACATCTAATGAAAATGCTTTGCTGCTGCATCCTGGGACAACTTTCACTTTTCTTGGCTGCACTACTTTGCTGGCTCACTCAAGGCAAATAACCAACACATTGATCTTTCTCCTCTTATTTCTACATGCTAAGCAGAAATTCCTATTAGTGCGGAAATTCACTTCATGCTATTACTTTTGAATCTGTTTGACTACGCTAGCTATTGTCATTCAGTCTAATGTTCTATTCTAACGTTGTACCAACACAGGGGAATGGAGCTGGGAAGCGTCATCAAGCAAGTTTCACAAGTTCTCTTACTTTTTGTACCAAGGATACCCACAAAAATATTAACATGCTTGCTCCCAAAACCAGATCTTCAGTTTCCACTATGACAATTTCCCTTCCAGCATAATCCATAATTATCTCAAACAATTCCCAGCACACCCTAAGACTCTTATCCCATTTTGTCCACTGTGGGAAAGGAGAAAAAAAAAAAAAAAAAAAAAAAAGATTTATTTGCCACCTCTACTGTCACTTTATGAGCATTTAATATTAACTGGGTATCATGCAATCTACAACACTGCAGATCAACTTACTAACAAAGGGGAAAGACAAAAGACTGCTGAGATCCCCTCAAAGGATAACACCTGTAGTAACAGGTTTTTCAAAGCTGTATCTTGTTCCTACGGATTTGCCCCAAAGTATTCCAGGAGTTTAATTTGACTACCTTTCATCTATGTACTCATCTTGGTCAAACAGGCTCCGATTAGACAGGTGACTGTGTTTGCATTACTAGTTTAAAAGAAAAAAAAAAAAAAAAGGAAAAATCACACAGAAAAACAAGAGACAATGAATCGAAGACCGACTGTGGAACTGACATCTGACTGCCATATTATCACTACTAGCAACAAGCATCTGCAATGACAAACAATAGCTTCTTAGGATTTGTAATTATCTCCATTAAGTACAGTGATGAAGATGCCTGCCTTCAAATGCAGTCTAACCAACTTCCATTCCCACCAAATACTGCATGGCACGTCCATCTCAAAGGGCTCAGACAGAAATCGGAGTCCTAGGCTGCAGCTCAAGCATCTTTCTAGGTAACGGAAATTTCTGCTGTAGCAAACACAAAGACAGTATTTAGTAGTCCCTCTTGCTGCTTCTAAATTCCAGAGACCCTTTAAGGTCATATTTTAAAATATGTAGCTACATGTATCTCCTTGATAAGTGATGTAGATTTATTAGGATTACAGTAAGGGAGTACCCTATCCAGGGCTTTGGACACTTTTCACAGTTGTCAGAAATTGTGAGTTTGAGTCCTTGGGCTTTTAAGTTTCTTCAAGTTTAACACACTTGCAATACAAATGCCATAAAACCTACTCCAGAAAAATTCCTTTTAACAGGCACACAATAGAAACTAGGCTCAGCATATTTATCACAGGACATCCGTTTACAGCAAGCCAGCACATTGTGCATCAGCTACTAGTTCTTAGTGGTTCTGAGATCCACTACATGCTTCTCCCGTTCTTACACTTTTCTTTAGTCACCTCATAGGGGCCACCAGCAACTACAAGATACTGAGCGTCAGGCACTTTTGCCTTCATCAGGTGCACTGTTCTTCACTCTAATGCAATGAAGTCTTGATATAGCAACGACGACGACACCAATCAGCCAGAACACAGCATAGCTAGGACTTCCCCTTGACTACAGTTCTATAAAAACAGGCTTCACTATGCAAGCAGAACCCATAACCCTGAAAACAGCATATGCCAAGCACTGCGATACAAAACCAAAGACCTGTAAAAAATGAATAGCTGAGAGAATAGGAGGGGATTCTCCTTTGCAGGAGTGTCAGGAACTTGCACATTGTTATGCAAGTTAAAAGTATAAAGAGTACTTGTAAAAAGCAATCTGTGCTATCTAGGAACTTTATAATTTTTAATTTTTTAAAATTTAATTTTCTGTAGTAGGCGTGATTTAATTTATGCTTTAACAATGCTTAACCAGCACAGCAGGGACTTTATTGTAGTTTTAGTCACATGATGCACAAAACCATGAGACAAGGAGTAGAGAAACAATTTCACTGTGTTACAAGTAGGAGTCTCTCTTCACACACAGATCTTTGCTGGCATCTGGAATTACCCGCCTCTCTTCTAATACCACAGACAGTAATTAGTAAGCTATCCCAAAGGGATCCCAGAAACCCTTCATTACACAGCATGTCATTCTACAGCTACCTTAGAGTGTCACACCTTAATAATTCCTTAACTCATATAGTTACTTCTTCACCAGGGATGGCCAAGACAGCATCCAAGTCAGCAATACAAAAAAACAAAAACCCACCCCTGAAATGACCATTTTGCAATTATCAAACTGGGTTTATAACACTGTCACCACTTTCGACAACAGCTTAGGGAAAAAGCTATATATCATGTTGCTTGTGTTACAAAAATCAAGATCTCTTTCCCCCATACCCAAGCACCTTGATGCTTTGGAGAAGGAACCTGACACTTGGATAAAAGCCACTGGCACGCATAAATATATATAACACCTTTTGCCAATCCTCTGAAAATATGTAAGACTTTGGTAAAAGTAGTTCTTTTAAATCAGTTTATGAACATTGAGCTTCACAAGGGTAAGCCAATCTGCACAACTTCTTGAGCGCAGCCACAGATGAGAAGCAGTACATGCTAGTCAGCATGCCTGAGCACTGACAGCATCTCTCTTCATCAGGCACGCAACCTAGCTGAACAATCATAGCTTCATGCTGAAAGGTGCATGAAAGGTGACTACTTAGCTGCAGTTCAACGGTAAATACTGTTCTTCAGCTCTCAGCAGGCCCAAAGAGCGCTGCATACTTTTCAAAAGAAGTTTCCTGTGCTCTGTATTATAAATCGTTATAAATCAAAATTGCCAATAAAAAAAGCAGGGGAACAAGTATGTACATGGGTACTAAAACACGAGCTGGGCAGCAGAGTCCCGGCGACGGGATTCAGTAGTACAGACAGGGAAGAACGAGGACACAGGCATGGTGATTGTGTATTGCAGTAGGAACAGGAAAGGGCTGCACAGAAGGACACAAGGAACTAAATGCCTTCAAGTAATACTGGAGAGAAGATACTACAGTGTGAAGAGGGACACTAGGAGTATGAAGGAAGGTGGAACTAACACAGGAAGAAGGTAAAAGTGCAACCAAATGTTAGTCTTTAATGGCTGCCACGTTTGAGTCAAGTGCTGCTGGATCAGATGAGCAGCTAAAAATCCCTGGAGATACTGTCCTCATTGAGCAGGTGAAAAAACTCTCACAGCGACTGATGCTGACTAGTCCTATCCCAATTAAATTTTGCACTTCATTTAATTTAAGGAGGCTCAGAAGTAGGCTAACCAAAGGCAGTCATAGGAACAGGAAAATGGATAAGTTGGTGTGTGCTTCTCGTGCCCTTGCTCCATCCACCTCTTCTCCAGGGCCCCCTTCTGGTCCTAGCTCAGCAAGGTCTAAGATGGCTGCCAGCTCCTCCCCTTCAGCAGGTTTTATGCAGCTTTCCCTCTGAAACAGGACATGGAGCTGACCCTCAGTCTTCCACCTCTATTTTTGATACACCAGCTGTCACATCAGCCAACATATTAAGAATACTCCAGCCCAGATGCTGTCATCCTTTGATCACTCCAAGGTATCACCCAGTCACACACAAGAACCAAAAGCAAAGTCTGTCTCTCCCACGTTCACAATGTCGACCCTTTCCAGCCGTTAAGCAATTTCTTACAAGAGAGTAGTGCCATTTGGATCAGGGAAGCGTGAGCTACTCAGAGAAACAGCGCAAAACTGTTTGTAGGCAGCTGGTTAGGTTCAGCAACAGTCTAGGCAGAGAGTGGGACTGAATGGGCATGGAGGAAAAGGAAAAGGCACACTGGGACCGAGTATCATGAAACACATGGCGAGGGGGGCAGTGGCTGTTCCCTGATGATATGCCCTCAGATTGAACCAGTGCCCAAAGTAAAAACTGGAGATGGAGGAGTCATTTCAGGAAAGAAAACTGAGTCAGGAGAAAGATTTGTTCTTCAACCCCCCCCGCCCGACATGCACCTGCAAAGAATGGCAGGCATTCCCAACTTTTGCTAAGCTCCCAGACGTAAAACCACTGACGAAGGAGGTATGTCACTCAACCTCATATCAGACTAGGGCAAGATGCAAAGAACAACTGCAAAAAAAATACCGCTCTTTAGAAAGATATCTCTTCAACAAGGTTACTGCCTGTGCTCACATATTGACATCCTGAATCCTCAAAGTACCACAGCTTTGCTGAAGCCTTTTCACATCAGACAATGAAACTACAGTATTTAGGCAACACTTTGTATTCAAGAAGAGAAAAAGGCAGAACTAGAAATGGAAGCACGAAGATTCACCACGTAGCAAGCTTCACATTCTTGCCTCAAAACCTTTTATGCTACAAAACAATGTGAAACATGAAAATCTAGCCAGCTAGGTTTTTAAATACACTAGCCTGTGATTAAATAAGGCTTCTTAGCTAAACCAAAGGAAACCCTCTATCATTATCAGGGTGATACTTTTGGCTACAGGGATCCTTGAGTTCTAACCTGGCATTAAAAAAAAAAAAAAAAATACCCCCTCCCCATCCAAGCAGCAAATTTCAGAGACCTAGTCACTACGTGAAGTCTGTCCAACATATTAGTAAAGGTAAAATACTTTGTAAACATTGATTTAGGCTGCCCGGGAAATCAAATTCAGGCAGCACTTAAAAAAATCTGTAATGCCTTATTAGTGCTGTTATTATTTAATCTAGAGCAATGCAATTTGATGAAAGGTAATTTGATTTGCACATCTTTGGACACAAGTAACTTAATATCTTGTTTACTGACCAAGAGAATCAATAAAAATTCACCTGGGATTTTACTTATCACCCCTTAAAGAAAAACCCAACGCAACAGCTAGCATTAGGCAACCATCTTTAATGTCTCTATTGTGTGAAAAACTCTCAACTTAAACCATTTAAATAGAATTTAAATAACTTAGTTAGCATGGTGCCACTCTTAACTGCATACCCAACTACGGAATCTCCAAGTCTACTAGATGTCAGGGTTCAAACATTAAGTGATATGTAAACTGACCTGGCTGAGATACTGCAGTGGCTGTAAACTGAGTAGCCCAAGGGGGATTCTTCTGTCCTCCAAACTGAGCCATGGCGAAAGGCAAAATCTCCTGGGTGTCTATCTTCTATAACTGCAATCTATTAAAATAAAGCGCAGCTACAATCTTTGAAACATATACCATCAAGCTATTTTAATTCTAGGTCAAAAAAAAAAAAAAAAAGAAAAAAAAAGAAAAAGAAGTGTTGAAAGATTATCTTTACACCCCTAAACCTGGTGGGCAACGCGCATCAAAAGCGGGAAACACAAAAAGTTGCAGGACGAGTTATTATCTTCTCCTAAGGCACGATCTCCACCCTCCCCTTCTTAACAATGGGACTAACGCTATTTAAACACAAACATTTATGCACGTTTCCAACGAAGACTAAGGAAAAGGTGACCCTACGGATTTTTATTCTTTATTATTATCATTATTTCTTTCACAGGGCCGCCGCCGGGAAGCGCTGCCGGCAGAGGCGGAGCGCACGCTTTCAGCCACCGCTCCGTCTCCCTCTCCCCGAACAAGGGCAAGTTCACCACGCGAGCACGGCAGGGCCGCTCACCAACCCCCGACT